CACATGTCATACACAGAAGTAAGTGTATATAAGGGAGCATTTCAAAAATGGAAAGAGGTGAGCAGGGCCACTGTGTTTGATTCAGGACATGAGTGATATCTCAGCAAATAGAAAATATATTCTAGCTTGTTAATATCAGTAATTTGAGTTCCTAATTCGTACAAAACTATAGATTTAATATTTTGACATCACAAACATTTAATTTGAACCAGTGCTGCATTCAATATATCATATAACACACAAAAATTAATGGTTAGGTTTTTTTTAATACTTACTTTTAAATTAAGAAAGTAAGAATTGTATAATACTAAACTTTGAATTATAATCTACAATTTGATACCAAACATATTGATATATATTCATAAAATAGTAGTTCATTAAAGTTTTGACTGCTAGTCAATAAATGATGACATGGCCTTTGACCTGTGTGAAAAGGGTTAATGGTCTCATATGATCATGTTAACATCATAATGTAAAGTGTCATTACATATTGCTTCTCAGTGGTTTCATGTGATCATGTTAATGTCATAATATAAAGTACTGTAGAATATTGCTTTCCAATACGATATCATATCTCCGCTTACAAAATAGCTTCTCGATTAATTTTGCACAAATTTTCAATGCTCGCCACTAGCCTTCTACCTCCCACATTTGCATATCCACATTTAAATGATTATGCAGTAGTTCTCCACCAATAGGGCATGACACAACCCCTATCATTACCAGCGCCCTCTCCACATTTGCACATGTTAATCAGCTCTTGATTGGTAGTAGTACTGTATAGAAGTGATTGTTTTTGCTTGCAAGTTTGTCGACGTTTTCCATTATACTACAGACTTAGTTTTTCTTTAATATTTTTTTAATCTTTCATGTTTTTGAACAAAGAGTATATCCAGATCATATGTGGTGCGGTCTCCCGCTGAGGTGTGATATGTTATTTTTTGGTTCCACAATTCATGGTTTCTTTTGGGTGTTTTCTAAAGGGGGATCATTTTTTCATTGGCCCTTTAACAGTTCAATGTGGGATTCTAGCTATTTTGTGAGTGGAGGTAAGATATCTTATCGGAAGTTAATATTTTCCTAAACTGAAAATACATTTGTGATAGATACTTACCTCTTCTCACATTTCCCACCCAGCCTTCCCACTTCCAGTGATATGGTGTTGGTCTTCTGACCAATCTTGAAGTGATTAACAAATGCACATGAGGAGAGGGCACTGGTTACAATAGAGGTTGTATCACACCCCTATTGGTGGAGAGATGCTGCATAATCCTTTACATATGGATATACAGAAGTGGGAGGTGGAAGGCTAGTAGTGAGCATTGAAAATGTGCACCAATAAGGGGGGGGGGGCAGTACTAATTTAGAGAAGCAGTTTTGTGAGAGGAGGTAAAATATGTATCAGAAATACATTTACAGTTTAGGAAAATGTTAACTTTTAGTGTTCTCATATGATCATGTTTTTCTCAGTGAGTAATTAAAGAGTGAAAAAATAAAATACAACTTCTAAAGATTGGTGAAATGTGAAGAAAATGTTTCTCAGTAACATTATTCAGATTCTGATATTACAAATTCAAGCGGTTGTGTGTGAATTACATTGGAAACATATTTTACTAATATCCATGTGTAAGCCTGCTGCTTTTTGATTTTCTCTACAGTTTTTGTTGAAGATGGCCTTAAAGCAGTGCCAAATGTCATTGCCAACCCTGGTTTTGACTTTGATCTAGAAGAGGCTTATTTATTAAGAGAAGCTGACCAAAATGGTAACACAGAACAGATAGTGAGAACAAATAACAACAGCATAATCCAGCCTGAGAGTGGATGAAAGATTTAGTATATTATCATAGAGACTGTTTCAATTTCCGTAGAAGGTATTCTGTTAGAATTGTTCGGCTTTATGTTGGATGCTCTGCATACCTCCATATTTAATGTGTTTTGTTGTTGTTTTTTGTTACAAAAAAGCTATCATTTATACATTAAAAATGTTTACTGCTCATATTTCATTCAGTGTCATCACAATTATTGATTTATTGAATTATAATTAACTGCAACACTAAATTCTACTTTGTTTGCTGCAATATCAAAAGATTACGTAATTAGCTTTATTTAGGTTAAAAATGTATTGCATAAATTATATGATTATTAACACTTTCACTGCTAACCTCTTTTTCAAAAGCTAGACCCACCTGGCTAATCAATTTTTAAGAAAAGATATGATTTCAAGCTGCCCAATTATCACTTGAAATAATATCTTCAGTGTTTCACAGTAATAAATATTCATGTACATATGTAGCAATGCCTTACCTGATCAGAAATGAGTATAAACCTGGTATCTTTTGTAGCATTCCCCTTGGTGATGAAATGGGACTTACATCTTTTACAATAAAATCTTGTTTCTGAGCATTTACCAATTTTCTTACAAATTCTGCATGACTTAGTAGGGTATTTCTTTTTATTGATTGGTGACATGGCCACTAAGTTATGCTCTTTGAGTCCACCAATTAGATGTGTGGCAAGATAATCTTTGGTGTCTGATGACATGCCATAACTTGGTATTAGAGGAAGATGGGAAAGGGGCAGCTTCTGCCTGTCTTCATTCTGCCAGAATGGCATCAATCACCTCCATTTTGAAATTCAGCAATGAAAGTTTTTTCTCTGGATTTCCCTGATTGTACACGATACGCAAGTTGACCATGCAAAGTTCAGATATATACAGAACAAATTTCTTTGTTCATTTGGTTGTTTTCCATGGTCAAAGATAGTATTTTACCATTTGATCAAGTTTGTCAATGCTGGAGACATGTCTGTTGCAATCGAGCACACAAATTGTTTTTTAAATTTTCTGACTGTCGTTATCTTTCTTACCAGAGTCCTACATTCTGGAATCATGAAGTGTAGAGATAATTTTTACTGGACATTTGTCTTTCCACACTAACATATCTCCATCTTGATGAAAAACCATCTGCTGTATCTGTAGCCTATCAACTTCATGCATTGGATCATGAGGAGCATCTTGGTTCAGTCTGAAAGTTCCACACACATGAATCTTTCGTTCATCTGCTAGCAAAAACTTGGATATGGCCACACTGTTATAATGATTGTCCATGTATACCTTGTTGTTGTCCAACATATTGAGATGCCCTTGTCTTGTCCGTCACTGCTTGGCAATCTGATGTCGATGCTGTACCTTTTGAATGTGAAGCCACTGACTCACATGTTTGCCTTGTAGAAGTTGCTTGTCTTCTGCAATACACATTGTGGAGGTTTCTGCAGTCATCTGAGATAGTACATCTGATGCTGACCCACCGTCCTGCTTACTGTGACTTGAAGTATATTGGGCAGTTTCTTGTGAAGATCTTTGTTATGTCAGTTTGAGCAGATTGTACATCAAATTTACATTTTTTTAGTACATGACATTTTTTCTCTAAAAGAAAACAGTAGGCCTGATGAAATGTTTATCAATATTAATATCCAACCCAAATATTATATTTAAATGTATTTATCTAAGAAAATGTGTGAACACCTATAAATTGCATATATATTTCTTTATGCACATAAGTAATAAGATAGAAATATATATATATACCACTAACTCATAACATTGCAGAGTGCAGTAGGGTGGAGAGATGGGGGAGCCCTGTCGCAGTCTTTTTCAACACGATAATTTCAGCAGTTTCCAAAAGTACACTTTTATCTCGCACAGAATCGAATAAGTATGTCATCTCTTACTTCATTGATCTATGAAATAATGTATAATTTGCATGTATGTTTCTACATGCATGTATATTATAAGAGGATTGAGCAAATACATCATACCTTTGAGTGTATGGCTTGTCAATACCTGTATGAGTCAGGTTGTCGTGCAGTGCAAAGCCCTTTATGCAATGCTTGCATAAATAAATTTATATTTTCTAATGTTTTATCTGTTCGGCAACTTTCCTGCTGTTTCTTTACTGGTTTTGTAAGAATTATTTTCTTTGAATGTACAGTGTCAATAATTCCAAGGTTAGGTTAAGTTTAGGATGGTATTATAGAATGTCTGGTTCACATGTTGAAACAGATACTTTCAATTCATTAGCACAGTATTTCTGGCTATTTCTTTGCTACTACTAGCCCCTACATTTCTCTGGCCTGGATAGCCACTGTAATATATAGACTTATTTATGTAGATATGCACACTAGCTTTATTGCTACCTTATTTTGTAAAGATTTGATAGTTGGAGTAGGAATAATATCAACCGTAATGCATCTACTTCAGTAGTTTAACAACAAGAATAATGATTTGATAAAAAAAGTGAACAACTGCAATGGCACTCCAGTACATTCTGCCTCAACTCAAGCAATGCTTTCATCCCATATTTGGCAGGTTTTTGCAGATTGTAAAACACAAAATATTACATGATCTTACCATTTAAGCATTCCTTCATCTAGGGACAGTCTTTTCTGTGGGCTATATACAGTTTGAACTTCTTTACAATGTAATCGTAAATCAGCCAAATTCTATAGAGTCGATTTTGACAATTTCTGGGACATGCATTGTTGTCATTGAAGTGGAGAAATTTCAATATCAGTAGAAATGTATCCCTTACTGTAGAGTGAATCTCGGGCTTTTTTACAATCCAAGTATTGAAAAAAAAGGGCCAAAAACAGCCAAAGTTTGTCAGAGGTCAAATCCTTCCATTGTCTAGTACAGGAATATCTATTCAAATCTTGATGTTTCTGGAAAAATTGCCCAGCATAAAGATTTGTCTCTCTGACAATATTGTCTATGAGTTCATTGGTAATAAACAGTTTAAACCATTGAAGGCAGCTCTTTGTATTATCTGGCTGTATCTTTACACCTGTGGTACCAGTTAACTGATGTACATGTGGAGGTCTGTCTACATTAGTCCAGTCCCCCACCTGATTTTCATTTCTCCTGCCCTGACTGCCATGGGGATTAACTCAACCACAACCAGGTGCTTGTGCAGAATCAACTTTATCACCATTATTACTGGCAGTATTAGGCCTACGTGGCCCGGCATGTGCATTTTTGCTATACGCGTCCACATCACTTGATTCATCACTATAATTCAAGTCACTTTCATTTTCATCATCTGTACTATATTCCTTGGCACCTTCTACATCTTCTTCATCTGAATTATCACTAAATCAATCGGATTCAAAGTCCTCATCACTGAATGTTTCCTGCAAAATATCTTCAGCAGAATGATGTAAAGGTCGTTTTCATGGGCACTACCATCTTGGAAGTCCAAGAAGCAATTCAAAAATTCAAGTTGTATTTTTGGTTCTGTAATATCCATACAAAGTATGAAACTACCATGATGAATGAAATGAAATGGAAGCTCACTAATGTATTTTCCAAAACACCAGTTATAAGTTCATATTTCTTTTGACAGATGGCATAGCATGTACAGTACTTCAGTGGCAGTTAAAAGCTGAAGATTCTCCTCGTTAGCCACTGGAACCATGTACAAAGATATGTAGATTCTCATAGATAGCAGTGGAAGTGTTAAGAGACCAAATAATTTGTTTCACATCCCCCAAATTAAAATTCATCTAGCTGTTTTATTTAAAAGGAAGTCCCTTAAATCTAGTATACAGGTTATTTCTTTATAGAAATAATGTCATTGAAGTTTTGCTCTAAGATTGTTCTGTCCAAAGTGACAATTTTAAGATCAAGTGCCCTTGATATCACAGTACGTTCTGTTACCAGAAATTAGCATATATATATATATTAAACTGTGAATTTTTCTTAGTTTTAAATTTTTGGAGTTGGTTACATGTTCTTGTTTCTTCTATATAAATCCTTTCCTCTCGTAGCAGTAGTAAAATACTTGATGTGTATCATACAAAAAAGTTGAGAAAATCAGTTAATGTACTTGAAGGAATGTGGACCTTTTCACACTATTTTTGTGTTTAACTATAATTATAAAATACCTTAAAACAATAACGAAATAGTAATGCAAAAAGATAATTAAAAAGTATTTTGTTTTCTGACTAGTTTGGTAAAACTGACATTCCATTCTAAATAAGTTTATTGTTATTATCATCTGTAAGAAAAATCTGTGTTTTTAAACATTATCATCTATAGAGAAGCCTGTGCTTTTAGATATCATCTATAAGGAAGGCCCATGTATTTAAACATAATCTATGAGGAAGGCCTATGTGTTTAAACAAATGGGTAGAAACAGTAAAAATAGTGCTATATCACGTATGTAATTAAAACATATCTTGTAGCAAGACTTACCTGAGTATGGAGTGGTAATGTAAGAATATAGAAACTTAAAGAGTGTTATAGTTTTAATATTATTCATATTCATAAAGTACTTTCTACACAAAATAAACATTTAAAATGTCTATAGGGACTGATAACTTTATTTATATTTATCTGACGTGTTACAAGGTTATCGTCACAGTTAACTGTAATTATAATTATATTTGATAAAGTTTAATAATAACTATAACTAAAATTATAAATTTTTTTGAAGATTTTTGATGGAGAACTAATAGATTTTTCTTTGAAATTTTGTTCAGATGTTTCTACGAATTTAACACTTGGAAATTTCAAACAAATCTTTTCATATCTTATAATTTTGAAAAATAATCCAATTTTGGGAAATGTGATATGTGTATCTGTGTTCAATTGTGATTAAATTTTTGAGGAACTTTTACAGCATTTCTTTTGTGGAAATATTTGCGTCAGATGCACAACTTCATAAAAATATTGAACCACGTAATATGCATTACTTAAGACACCACAGGTATACCTGAAGCTGTTCTTTATGTCTGTATGTGGCTTGCTAACAATTTTTTTTTCTGTTGTACTATATGAATTTGCCAGTAGTTTTGCATCAGACATAATTTTGTTTTTGGGGCATGTATATCATGTAAATATTGTATCTTGCTCAGCTTTAAGTCAAACTGCACTTTACTCATAAAATTTTCGTGAAAGAATGTTTAAGAGCTTTCGTACTAATAAGGCAAGCCTGTAGTTTATATTTGTTGTGCCTGTAACAGCTCTTATGTACATATTTTGTTGTCAAGAATAACATTCATTAACTATTTAACCAAGTTGTTTCTTGATTAATTAAAGTGATGTTCCACCATATGAAATATATTAGTTTCTTTGTTTTGGATAATTCTAGCTATAGAAATAGTAACTTTCACTTTTATTAGCTATAGAAATAGTAACTTTCACACTTATTTGCTATAGAAATAGTAACTTTCATACTTTTATTAGCTATAGAAATAGTAACTTTCATACTTTTATTAGCTATAGAAATAGTAACTTTCATACTTTTATTAGCTATAGAAATAGTAACTTTCATACTTTT